TTGTGCATGAGGACTGTGTTTCAGGTTGCCTGCATACACTTGAGTTGCCTAGGACATTTTAATAAGCATATTGACATCATAACAGATAGGTTCACTTTTATTTCTAGGTTCATGGAACGGCACCAGACATTGCAGGAAAAGACTTGGCAAATCCAACTGCCCTTCTTCTGAGTGCTGTAATGATGTTGCGTCACATGGGACTACACCAACATGCCACAAAAATCGAGACAGCTTGCTTTAATACAATTAAAGATGGAAAGGTAATATGAGGATGTGCAAATAAATGCAGTGAATTAAAATTATATTCTATCGCAGCAAAAATTAACTTAGAACATTAACACCAGAAAAATGGATGACCTGCTGTGCTAGCCTGACGCAAGAGCAGTGCTGCTATCCTTCTCCGATAGTAATTGTATTTTCTCTGGTGGTATTAAATCTGCCCAGTTCGGTAATAAGGACAAGCTGTAGCATTCCTTGTGTCTCAGTAATGCTCATCTTACATTTCCACAGTTTTGTGAACTCTAAAAGCTAGAATGGGATGTCTGTTTTTCATGAAGGGGATTAGAGTTTTAAGTAACTAGTCGTATTTGACTGCTGAAGTTGATAATGCACACAAGGCATATATATTTAAATCTGGATCCTAAAGTGAAACACAGTCATTTGCCTTTCACAGGCTTAATCATCCACATTGTTTAAAGCATTTCAGTCCTGACTGTAATACTTCTGCTCCTATTTTTTCAGGTCAATTGTTTTCTTGTTTTTTCTCATAACTGCAACCAGTCCTTTTTGGACTAGGAAAGAACAGGTTTTATCCAGTATTTACATTTTCTCTTAAGATTGTATGGGATTTCCCTTTGGCAATAAGTGTCTCCAGATTCAAGATTTAAATGGGATATTGGGGGGGGACTTATGCTGTGAAACCTGACTTGAATTTGTGCTCTTAGTGTTATTGGTTCACTCGTCTACTTTAACATCCACCTTTTCAAAACATAGCTGGAAAGATCCTGAAGATTGCAGTTAAAGAGGATTAGCAGTGAGCCATGCTGGTTCAGTTATAGCGGGCAGGAGCATAAGAAGCTGCTTTGTAATTAAAAGTAACAAGCATGCTTAAACAAAAGCTGTCATCATTTCATAAGTGGTCTGTTTGCAGCTATCTTGCTGTGTGTAGGAGCCAGTTAAAAAAATAAAATCTAAACTTACAAGTGAATAAAGAGGTGCTCCTGTAAAGTTCCCATTTACTGCTCTGGAAATGAAATCCTCCATCTGCAGGTCAGTAATTTTATGGAAGATAACATAGTGCAAGTTTTGTGATGTGGCTACTTGTTTACTAGTTACTTACAATGTTATGATTATATGCTCACAATGAAGAGAATCTTTTTCAATTGAAAAAAGCATAATGCAGTTAAAATGACAAGATCCTAAAATAGTAACCTTTATCACCTCTCTTGCTTGCTATTTCTCCCGTTCCTCCCTTCCCCACAGCCATTTAATTAAGGTCTGTGCGTGTGTTATGTAAGGGGAACACTAATGACTTTAAATTATCTCCTAGACTGCTTTAATCTAGCTAGGTTGGACAAGCAATGTTGCCCACTATTTATTTTTTTTTTTATTTTACCGTCTTCATGCTGCCAGACAGGACTTTTACTTGAAAAAGTTTCTTTTAACTCTGCATTATTTCATCTCTTAACTAAACTAAGCAAACTTAAAGGTTAACATGCAGCATTAAGAGCTATGTGTGCTTTCTTCTGTGTGGGTTTCCTTTAAAAAAACAAAACCCCAAAAACCTTACTGAATGACTCAATTAGCTGCCTTTGCGCTGAGCCTTCATAGGTGAATTTTACTTCTAAAAGACAAACTTATTATTGAAAACTTAAATACTAAATCATTAATTACATTGTTATGTGGCCAAGGGACTTTGGAGAGCTTTGGCCTCACAGACTTTCTTCCTGTAGTTAAGATAAAATCACATTGAAATCTGATAATGTAATACTTGATGTTCATACTCAGGTTTTCTCTACCTGCATAGTCCTTATTGTAAAGGCTATACAGATGCAGAAAAACTCAAACTTGATCTATTCCTTCTCATTCCTACTTAGTATCCCCACACAACATACAAGAACAACATACAGAACTGTTCAGAGACAAGATTAGCCCTATAAAACATTTTAATAATGCTTTTTTTTCTTCCTTTCAGGTCTTGACAAAAGACTTGGGTGGTAGCGCCAAGTGTTCGGAATTCACAGAGGAGATCTGCCGCAGAGTACGGGACACAGACTAAACTTCTCCTACAGCTTGTAATAACTACGAAAGGACACATCACACAAAGTACATTATATGTAACCTGACATCCGTATGCATATAGTTTGCTTGTCTCTTAAGAGAGCAAACTTTTTAGTTAGGGCCTCTCCATTAATAAATTTAGTCCAAATGGCTACAAATGATGCTTGTGCCTGCTTTCAGTGGACTTTTCCAAGTGCTTTGTGGTATTTATTTTTTTCTATCTGGTGAATATTTTTATGTAAGTGAATTCTTTTATTGCCACTGTAACTGTCTACCATTTTCCATTTCAACTACAGGTTTTTACTTTCCACAATGAAAAATTATGCAAATAAACGAGTAACAGAATTAGTGAAATGTAAAAGCACCTTAATCGTTAAAACCTATTTTATTGATCTTACTGAAATTTAAGAGATAGGTTTTCAGCCTAACAGTAGCACAAGATGACCTTCATAAACAGAAACGGGTATAAAATCACTTAAAAGAGCAATTTCATGTTAACAGCAATGAAAAAAAAACCACTTTTAATACTCTGGTGATTCGTGAAATATAGCCTTGCTCTCCAAAGGCATGAATAAAGAAACACAGAATTCTAGAGATTTAGTCTATTTGTGTATTTTAAAAAAGCCCACAACCATTAACTGGCAAGGGGTAAGAAATAATGTTGAAGTAAAATTTTTTTTCAAATCTGTATACCAAAATAATTCTTGCAAGTTTTGCTCTCTGAAACACATTTCATTCTAGTGAGATTAAATTAGAAAAAATTACTTCTGCCATATATTGTGAGGGGAGAGTATTAACTTTCCAAATTTATACTAAATATTTCATGACTTCCGCTAGAACGCTTTTTGTGTTGTAATTTCATGCGTAGTCTGTTCAGTGTGTCTTACTGTATTGACTAGTGATTTTATTCTAGAACCTCTGAATGTAAGGGACTAGTCCTAAATGGATTAAGACAGATCAAAGGTTTGGCTCTGGTGCCTATGTTCCAGAAATACATTTCATCCCTATTCAAGGGGATCTGAGCCTATTTTTTCTCTGCTTACTAAGCTGAATGGGTGCAAAAGCAACTCTTTGCTCCCTTCTTCATTGCATACAGATTGTCATATGAGTCATTCAGATCTGTATGTCTTCAGGTATGCTTCCATTAGTACACCCTACAAGAAAATGTGTATTTTAAAACTCATGACTAGAGCACAGGATTACCCCTACTGCCAGAACCAGGCTTCTTAAGGCTTAATTCTATTAATAGATATTAGTCCACAGAGTTACTTTCTATTAAGGCTGTTTTGGCTGGTTGTTTCAGAAGTAAAAATCAACTTTAAGTAACAACATTTAGTGTTGCTCTATAAAGTAGGCATCCCAGCTTGTTTTATACAGTCTAACATCATGTTGGAGGAGGGACAACGAGCTTTATGCCTCATGCACTCTGCTTTTGGTGAATAGGGCAACATTTTCTGTGTTTTACAAGCTGCTGCTTCCTTGTTTCCTTTAGATTAATATTGTTAAAGATCTTCTGAACTACCATTACGCACAAAATGGGGAAAAATAAACTTTTCAAAGTCCTATTGTTGTTTTGTTTTTATAATCCCGGGCTGCTGTCTTATGTGTTGAGCTGATTATTGGTACTTGGCAACGAATCTGAAGTCTATAAGATATGTAAGACTGGTAATGGAACTTTCGTGGCAACAATATTCTATCCTGCATGATTTTTTTGATCAAGAACAGTGGCTGTAGCCTGCCTGTTTGTGTTAGCCATTATAACACTGCCAAAGATCACTTAATAACAGCAAACCCTTTACACAAGGTAAAGTCAAGTATGTCCTTCACATAACACGATTTATTTTTTTATAAGATGAAGGAGAAACGCAGCTCACACTTGTCAGAATTAGTAAAATGTGAATATTAAAATACGCAGATATACACTGACAAACATTGCTTCTGAACTCTTGCTTAGAAAGAAAAAAGTGCTTTAAACAATTTAAAATAAGTTTTTGTTCTAAATAGCAGTTTAATGTGAGAGCAGCTGCATTTGCTACTTTATGCCTTTCAGTCTTAGGTAGCTGTTTCCCCAACATTTTTGATTATTTGTTTTTAGGAGAAACAGTAATGCTTATTTGAACACAGATTTAAGAAATGATAAGTTGCTGTTTTCACAAAAGTCCGAATTCTATCCACTGTAAAAATGGAAGAGGAGTGTCTTTAGGTTCTGAAATGTTGTGTTAGTGAACAAAAATAAACTCTTCTCTGGGAGAGGAAAAAAAAGCCCTTTTGATTTTTTTTTAATTAGCACTGGAGTGGAGTAACAGTTTCATTAAGCAGTACTACTAACTACTTATCTACCAAATTATATCAGGAGCTACAGGAGATGTCCCACAGAAGGAAAAAAAATAATAAAGGAAGATCACTATAAAAAAAAAAATGTGTTTCAGTCCAGAGGAATTAATTAGTTATACCTGCTTTATACAACACGAGAGGATTTTTTTAATCATTTAGGGCATAAAGTAAAAACAGTATGAGAACAGACACACGGTGTGGATACTTCTGTAGAAAGAAGACAAAGGATCATCATCAAGAGCAAGTAAATTAACACAGCAGTTTTCTAGTGGTTCAGTTCAACAGACTACAAAACCAAAACAAGCATAAATCTTCGTTAATGCTTTTGATTAGGAAATACTTTCTTTAGCTCACAAATCTTTCCTAATGCTTGGATGAAAGACTTCTTATTCTTCATAGAAGGAGTCTACTTCATGTCTATATTTCTCAAGCACGGTGAGCCGTTTTAGCTTCATTGTTGGACCTTAAAAGAGGGAGTTCGTCACAATAACAGAAAAAGGAACAAAAATTCCTACTCAGTTTGAGCTTTGGTTCCTAAGATTTTCATTGAAGAGCCTGTTTGGAAGAATATCTCCTACTCTGCAAGTGTAGATAAAGTGCTGCTAAAAGTGAGAAGCAAGCATGGCATGTAAAGCTGCTTCCACATAAGCATGAGGACTTCAAAGGGAGCTGCAGATAAGAGAGTGATGACTGACTACTACTTTTTTTCATTAAAAAAAAATAAATAAATAAAAGGGTGATGTTTTTGAAAGCTTTTAAACAATTCCTAGTTTATTCAGAGCCAGGTAATGTGCTTGAGGCTCTGTCAGGCTCTCACTGTCTTGCTTCTCTCTTTTCTTTAATGAGTAATTTTCAGCATTATTACTGGAAGTTATTAATACTGTAATGCACAAAGAATTAACCAGAATTGATTGTTTAATTGCCCAAAGCAATCTGAAATTTATCTATAGAGCTGTACTTGTAAATGAGCAGAAATTGATATATATGTAACACAGCAAAACGTCCAGTTTTTATATTCTTTAACACATGCTGCATAACATTTTTTTTTTCCTTTCCCTCTAGTGGCTGTACCCAGAATTTGGCATACAAAACTGTATTTGAATACTCTTAGATCAGCAGCCTCTTTACTGTGTTTATACCTCCATATAAATCAGTAAGTCTTACCTAGTTCTCCCCCGGTAATGGAAAAATCTCTTGGCAGCACTATCCATTTTTGAATACAGTGAACCCTATTAGTAGCACTCATGTTAACTTTGTTGATTCCCTCCTGAATGGCCTGGTAGATTGCCTGGTCTCTTGTAGCTACAATCTCTGATACTTTAGTGGCTTTACTGCCGGTCTTCTGGCAGAAGTCTCTAGCTTCATCAGTGAGAACGTCAGTGGGATCAGACGTATCTGGGTCCAGCACGCTCTAAAATACCAAATGCAGTGAATCATCACTTTCACAAGGCATTAAATGTTTCTCTGATCAGGTCCTCCCTGACTATTAAGAATCAAGAAGGCTCTGCATCAACACCTAAACATTCTGTAAGCCTTAGAAAGCAGAAACACTTAAAGATAATAGTGCTTTTCTTTCCACTTGGCTACCAAATGCCATTATTTTTGGCTTATATGCAGATAACATGAACAGACTTAAAATGTGTCAATGAATCAGGCAATGAAGTCCATCTATAGACCCTGAATTTCTACCATATTTTCCAAATTACTCCATTGTTACAGGGAAACATTTAGCTCATCATTATATTGCATTACTGTGGTATAATGTAAACAGCTTGAGATAGAAGCACTCTTTGAAGTTAAGACTTCTTATAATTAGTATTTCTATTGTACCTGTAAGATAGGAAGTATCAGTCATAGAGGTAAACAAGTTGAGAAAAACTAAAGGGTCATTTACTATTGATGTACAAACATGAAGTGCAAATGTTTTAGAAAAAAGGTATTTCTCAATTGAAGCATATAGCACAGCAAAGCTATTCATTATTTTGTTCTACAGTCATCCTTCTTGTGTTATATGAACACAAGAAATTGTAGAGAAATGTTTCTGTTGGAAAGTTTCTGCTAGAAACTGGTTTTGCCCGTAACAGAAACATTTGTTGTCTTTGCTCATCTGCGAGAATAAAAGCTGTTATAGTGCTCCGTTACAGAGACTTCCCACTCTTTCAACATTTCTTAACTAAAAATTTGCATTTAAATAAAAACAACAGCTCTTATATGTATAGGAGAAACAGCGGTAAACATGTAGCTATTTACCAGATCATCTAATCATAAGAAGTTTAGACGATCAGGATTTGGTCTGTAGTTGCTACATATATTTCCCCACTAACATCCTCCTATCTAATTTTAGGTCTTTTTACAAACAGTTCAAAATTATTCTTGTTTTCTTAGGTGCAGGTGTATAATTTCACTGAAATCAGTATTAAACTGGTGTACCTTTAGGGTCAGCAACATTGACAAAAACTTCTTTTTGTCTCCAATCACCATAGCATTACTAACAATCGGGAGTTCTTTTTTAACGGCATCTTCAATTGGAATTGGAGGCACGTTTTCACCTCCAGCTGTAATAATCAAATCTAGGCAAAAAAGAAAGGCTATTAGTTAAATTCAAATAACTTCTGAAAATCGGGTTAATCTCTGGATCGACCCACTTTTCTTATTCTGACATAAAGAATACAACATTTTCAAATGTTTTCAAAGAGACCAAAGCCTATTAATTAATTATCTTCAAAATAAAAATGCTAGTATTTTTCAAATATGTGCTCAAGTTCTCAGTTCTTCCTCAGTACAACATATTTGCTCCAGATAATTTTTACGTAATCCAGAAACAGTTTAATTTTTCTCAAGGCAGTGTTTCATAATCGGGAATTTTTCTGTGAGCAATCACCTCTTCCAAATTAGCATGGGATTCCCTCTCTATTTCGCTGTTGCTATCTCAAAAAAGGCAAGATCATTGTTATCATGACTAAAACAAATTCTTAACGCCACCAAGAGAGGTCAGACAAAACCAAGTTACTACTGCAGGAAGGCTCCATAAAAGCAACATGGGAAGAAGGGAGAGGAGACTGAGGAGGAAGTAAAGATCTGAGAGGAAGTCTGCAGCAGAAGTAGTGATTCCTGCCCTACTTTTGACAAGAGGGGAATATAATGACAGAATAGAATCTTAATATTTTTAAAGGTTTGTAAACAAGGGTAGAGATGTGCATTTTTATTTGAATGCATTTGTTCTGAAGTATAATACATATATTCATTGGAGTTTGAGTATTATCTAAGTAAATTCCTTTCATTACACTGGTGACTTCTCACTGTCCTCAAATAATAGTCTTGGCAGCATTTCAGAATACGCTTCTACAAATAATGCAAACAAATGGTATACCGGTCCTTTGTGTAATACTGCAGTTGATGGTGCGCGTTAAGGATTCGGTTGGCACCTGATTCCTTATCAGCGATAAACTTGAGGAATTTAGATACAATGAAGGGAATGTAGCACCCTTTCAGCATTCACAGGTTTGGGCCCTACCATGCCTACTGCTCCATGAGAACTATGATGAGAAATAACTTCCAGTTTATACTCAACCCTCTGGTATGGAATAGGCATCGATCTCGTAATTATAAAAATTATTTATCTCCCTAGTCAACACACTGCACACATCTGAGGAAGCACAAGTACTGTATAGAATGAGAGACTTTTGTCAAAGCACAGATACATACCAAAGTTAGCTGTGTATCCAAACTTGTCTAGGTCTATTTTTTCCTTTCATTCCACTCTCCTTTTGCCTTAGTCCTGTCTTTGTGTTAGATCCTCTACCAATCTCTCTGGCACTCATTGTCTGAGATGTTAGCTTTTTCCCAGCTGTAATAATTGTAGCTTCTTCCATACCTCTACAAATACTCCCCCTGCATGGGCTTCCCTAGCTACATCTTTGTGCTTTGCAGTTAATGAATCCTAAAACTCTTAAGACCCACAGAACCAAAGGAAGAAGTCCTGTTTCAGTCACTAGAAGAAAATCTTCTTTACTACCTTCTGTATCAGGTTTTACCTTATTTGGACTTTGATTTAAAACTGGACAGTTATTATCCCAGATGATGTAACTGTCCTGTAATTTAGAGTAATTGTTGTTAGTTCAGCAATCAAGGAAGATGTAAGTGAAACACAAATGTTATGACAGAATAAGACTAGGAGTTGCTAACTGCTGAATCAGGTAAGGAAGCAAGTTAAAAATCAAGATAACTGCATTTGGTGCATGCTATTAATAGTGTCTGCTTAAGTCCTGATTCCTAACAGGACACTATGTCATCCTATGACATTCACTCATCTGTTATCTCCCTAGTGATTCATCACATATTCTAAGATGATAGTTACTCAATTTTTAAGTTGTCCTTAGTTACATCTCGACTCCAACCAATCCCACTTCCTGAATATGTATCATTAAAAAAAGCTTCCAATTAAGCAAGTGACCAGTCTTACTCACGTGAGACTTCAAGCTATGTACTGTAATAATACCTAATTTATTGCTTTCGCTTTAACTTTCCCTTCTGCTCTCAAGCTTCAATACTACTCTCTGCAAACACATCACCTATGGCAATAGAGGAACCTAGCTCTGACCTACAGCAATAACTTTTATAAAACAGAGGATTGTCTCTTGACACTATCTAAACATTCTAATGTGCAATTAAGACAACTTAGCGAGGTTCAAAGGGAAATCCGACAGCTTAATGGATCATTAGAATCGAAGATGACATATTAAGCCTGCATTATAATTTTACATTACAAATTGTAATTAATACTGAATAAAGGTCTGGGAGATAAAAAGCCTCACTGTAGGAACTGAATCATATCCATCTATTACAGACTAGAGAGAAACCTTTGCCAAACAGGGCGCACCATGGTTTCCTCATAGGAAAGTTTATTCTACCTTCCTGCTAGGTCAATGCTTCCGGCATTAGAGGAAAGACCCTTAATTTGATGGGTCATATCTGACATGTGACCAAACAGCGCTGAACAGTTACCACAACCATGGAGCAAGATTTTGCTTATTACCTTTAATTCTTCCAGTGACATAGAGAAAGCCATCCTTGTCTAGTTTTCCTAGATCTCCAGAATGCAGCCACCCATCCTCATCAAAGGCTTCTTTTGTTTTGTCTTCCATATTTAAATAACCCATGAAAACAGTCCTTCCCCAGAAACAGATTTCTCCATTACCTCCTGTATCTTCATCCACCAGCTTCACTCTGCAGCCAGGTACTGGCTTACCACAGCTACCAGAGAAAAGCAGAAAAAAAAAAATAATACAAGGAGCACAGAAATATTAAACATAATTCTGATAAGACATCTAACACACCAAATCCCTAACTCTATCAAAATATTAGTGACTGTAAATAACACCCTGCTGCAACTATTTGAAAGCTATGGAATATTAATTAATTAATACTCTTCTCATAGATATAACAAAACATACCATATCAAAAACAAACAAACAAGTTAAGTTACCTGTGCTGCCTGTAAATATAGGGCCCAGATAGGCAATGGGGGCCTGTGGTCTCACTCATCCCGTAGGCCTCATACAGGGTGATGTTCAGACCCAGGAAGAAATACAGTGTTTCTGTATTGAGAGGAGCAGCACCCGAAAAGTGCTTCTGACAGGAAGAAAAACCTAGTGCGTTGCGTATTTTTGCAAGCACTAAGTAGTCTGCTAACCTTGTCCAGAACTGCTTTAAATCACTGCTGAGTACAAAACACACAAGAGGAGACAGTAAGCCAGAGCAACCTATGAAATTTCCAAAACAAAATCAGACACAAATTTTGTTTGGCGATGTATTTGCTATTTGGTTTTAGGTGTTGACAGAAGTTACATCAGTAAGAGCAGGTTACGTATTTGTCCTTTTTCCATTTATTGTTGTCTTTCATTGCCCAATTCTTGAGGTGTCTGAATACTGAAAATACATAAAGAATCTATAAAAAAATATTGTATAAAACAGAGCTCTTGTATTCCTGATTCTTTATCAGTTAAATGTGTCTCTGAGAATATACACCACTAAAATCTGAAGTTTGCAGGACCTATCTGAGAAGCTGAATGATCAGACAAGCAAAGCAGTACCACTGCATGATCTTCTGGAATACCATTTTTTGTAAGCAATTTCACTCTTCGTTATATCATATTTTAAAGAATTTTCGAACAGGAAAGAATTGTGAATTAAGTTAATACTTGAATTTATACAGTCTTTGCCTGGGCAATCTTATGGAGAAAAACACCCATGTTATTCAGAACAGAGATAACGTACTTAAAGCTCACGGAACTTACTGGGGGTATCCCTGAGTTTCTATGAGGAGAGAAGATGTTCTTACTCACATAGTGCATACCCCAAACTGTCATAAGCCAGTCTGTCTGGGCTGCCCTCCAAAGTTTCCACCCCTCTCATGCACCTCGTCCGAATTCATGCCCTTTCCTCACACCAGTAACTAGCGCTTGCACAAGTGCACTGCATCAGGGAACTCTCCCAGATGAAAACTAACCAGTTCAATTCACAGAAGACACAGAGTTGGAGGATGTATTAGTGGGAGTATGTTCTCAGGGGGAACAGAGGGACACTTTTAAGAGTCACCTGTGTTTCAGATCAGCCTACTGTAACTGATAACTACACCTTCCCTCTTGCATTAAATTTGTTGTGTTGCCAGGCCAAAATTTACCCATTTACACTTAAGACTCTCACCGATGCTTCATAGTTTATTACAAGCAGATAGCTAATTTCAGGTTGATGGAAATCTCACTCATTATAATACATACCTGCTTGAGCTGTTTAGGTTTCTCTCTAAGCTAAGTGACATAGCCCAGGACAGGATTTTCTTCTTCATAAATCCCGACTGAGCAGAAGCATCCTTTAATTTCTCCATGATTTTCTCCCATACTCGGGGAACTCCCATGTGAGATGTTGGCTGCACTTCTTTTAGCGTGTTGATCAAGCTGCCCTGTAAAAATCATTAAATCATTTCAAAACATTGCAAAAGGTCCATAACAGTAATAAAGAGATTTGGTGACGCAGGCTGCATCTTGCATTGCTAACACATAGAACATCACTCAACATATAGGATATAAAGGAGGACTGCTGAAC